AGGGAGGGAGCGAGCGAGCTCCTGCACCTGCCCGCAGCGCTGCCCCAGCGTCGGCGGGGGAGAGAAGGTTATGAGGAAAGACGCTCTGTCTCTGCCTCAGTCTCTATGGGTGGGGTAGAGCCGCTCTGTGCCGCTCTCTGTGGTGGCTGGGCGGCCTGGCTGTCAGTAGGACGCGCCGGAAGGAAGCCAGCTGTGGGGGAAGGGCTGTTTGGGTCCGGTCGGGCTGGGGTAGGCGGCGGCCATGGGGGTCCCCAAGTTCTACCGGTGGGTCTCGGAGCGGTATCCCTGCCTCAGCCAGGTGCTGAAGGAGCATCAGGTGAGCGCGCTGGGCCGGGGTAGCGGGCTGGGGGGTGCGCACCCGCCTTGTCCCCGCCGCTCTCCGGGTACGGGAGGGTGTCCCAGTGCTTCGCCGCAGCCAGCTCACAGCGGAGGGCGGCCGGGAGCCAGCGCGGGCCCGGCACCGCTAACGGCTCCGGGCCCGTGCCCGGCTCTCTGGCGCTGCGCTGACCTGCCTCGTCCCTGTGAGGAGCCAGGCCGCTCCCGAGGGTTCCCCGCAGGCCACGGTGCCAGGGAGCGAGCTCTGAAGCGGGCCCCGCTGACACGCCTCCGCAAACACAGCTGCTGGGAGGCTGGGGCTGGTGCCAGCCCTGCCGTTATGGGGAGAGCAGTGCCTCCTAGTCGCCTTCCCGCTTATGTTCGTTGATTTATTTTTCTTTCCCGGAACACGTCTAGGTCTAGCTCAGCAGCTTCTTAGTTTGGCCTTTTATAACACAGCATAATAAACTTGCTAGCAACCCCCACTAGCTTCACCAGCAACCCCTCTAGGTACGTTTGGAAGGCGCCTTTCAAAAGATAGAATGCAGCTGTTTTGCTTGACAGCATTGCTTGGATGTAGAAGACAACATCATGGTGGGGTTTTTTAAAGTGCTTAGCCTTGGTCCAACTCTGTTTCTATATAAGTAATTGAGGGTGGTCTAAAAGTAAATAAAGTAGACATCTAACTATTATATGATTAGGAAACGTGGACATATATTGCTGTAGTCAGCATGTTGATGTTTATTAGAATAGCTACATATTTTAAAGTAATTTAAAGAGAGGTTGAAAATCATATAGTTAGTGGGTGGAGGGCTTGTCTATGCATTTAAATTAGTTCAGAATAAGGTAGGAATTTAAAGCAGATTAACTATTCCTGATTAGCTCTATGTCTGGATGCATTTATTCCAGAATAAGAGTGCTTTATTCCAAATCATGTTAAACTAATTCAGAATAAGGCATTCTTATTCTGGAAAAGGAGTATCCACACATGGAGCTAATCAGGAATAGTTATTCTGGAATAATTCCCCAAGTAGACAAACCCTAAGTAGTTAGGAAGAGGAAAGAATGGAAAACAGAAAAGAAGACTTTCAAAGATGAAAGGACAATTAAACTACTAACCTCTTGTCCTAGATCAGTGGTTCTCAACATTTTTATCATTTAGGGCTGCATATGCAGCTCTCTGTGTTATATGGGCCACATCCACACAATATATATATACTACCTGTATGGCCCTGAGAATGTCACATGAGCTGAAGTTGTGTGCTGGTTGGGCCACAGGTTGAGATTCACTGCCCTAGATAAAGGGGCAGTAATATCCTAGTCTTCAAAATTACCAGAGTCTATGCTGGATGCTCAGAGGGGTTGAAAGCATAAAACAATGTTTGTTAACGATGCTTTATCATACTCCCAGTCAACTGTTTGTTCATTTTGACTTTATCTGCCCAGAGTTGCACCAACTTAACATAAGGTGTGATTTTAAACTGTTTAGTTAAACCAGTTCGGAAGGCTTTGTAGACACTCTTATTTTGGTTTTTATGAGGCTGTCTACAATTAAAAAAACTTTTCTCGTTTAGCTATACTGGCAAAACCCTTCTAGTGTAGATACAACTATACCACCAAAGAGTACTTCTGCTGGTATAGTTTATTCCAGTTCAGTGAGCAAAATAGGCTATATTGGCTAAAGCACCCTATTTTTATCAGTATAACTGTCTATGCTAGGCCTTTTGATAGCATGCCCACAAAACTTTTAGGTGTAGACCTGGCTTTATTTTAGTTTCGCTTAAGTCATCGATTAATAACAGGTTTCAATTAAACTGAACCTGGCTTCCACATGGAGCAAATGTATGTACACTCAAGGCCCTTGATTTCTATTGCATCATAATTATTTAACACTTAAGCCTCTCCTCATTTAAATGTGGTTCTGACTATACCAATTTCTAACATAGTTTAGCCAGAAAGTGTAGACAGAACCAAACAAAGTTTAAAATTCAACATGGTTCTTAAAGTAGTTCCTTAACATAGCCTAGTGTAAGTGAATCTTTTACTTAAAAATGGTTTAAAATGCCTTTTAAAATAAAGTTGCATTCCCAATGTGGGACAAGCCTCTTAGAAAACTGCTTTTTAAAACTACATGAACATTAGAGCACACTAAAATATTGCACTTAAACAAGAAATTTTGGTCTCAGGACAAAAATTCCAAAATAAGATCCCTGCTGAATGCAGGCAGAGAGCAAGGAACATGTACAACACACATTCTCAGAAAGCTGCCATGGATAGGGCTCACATTCAGCTGTGCATGGGTTTAATGGTCACAGCATGTCCACTTGAGTCATCCAGTTACTGTGACAACAGATTGTCAGAGTCAACAGCCAGAGAATTTTTTGGCCATCTGTTGTC